AGACGATTCCGTTTTTTACGGGAGGGTTGGTAACTCTAATAACTAACCTTATAAATAAAATAAGATAAAACAAGTTCAACATCAATAATATCATAGCACCCGCCCAGCTGTATATAAACTCTGTCATGCTAGCTGGCACGCAGTACGAGTTATTGTAACTGACTGTAAAAAGTCAGCATAATGAAAATAAACTCCACCTAAACTTGGTTTATATCTGACCCAGACAGACTGCAGGTCATAACCTCTTACCTGAAGTTCAGCTCACCGCCTCAGGTCTCTGCTCCTTCTGCCTTTCTGTCATCCACCTGCCAGCGTGTTGCATCTCCACCACTTGCTAATGTTACTGAATCTGTGGAAGCTCCGCAATAGCCACCACCAAACAACTGAGTTATTTTTACACATCTCCCAGCATCTGGCCAATCCACCACCTTTCAGTGTTTATACCGTTACAGAAAAAAACGAAGAAAAAACCCCCATCGGCCCATAAAAACAAAAAATCACCACTGCCGGTGGGCCGATGGCCAGTCCAGCTATGCCAACACACCAAAACCATCAGTCAGAACTGCTGACATGAAGCAGGGTGGATCCATGCTTTTGTGTTGTTTATGCCAAATTCTGACCCTAACGTCTAAATGTTACATTAGTGTGGCACCCAATGTGTTTCTGTATTTCCTTAACCCTTTTACTTTAAGTCTCAATGTGTTGTGCCTTCAGAGATGCTCTTCTGCAAACCTTTGATTGAATGAGTGGTGATTTAAGTTCTGGTTGCTTCCTATCACCTTGAAGCAGCCTGGCCACTATCCTCTGACATCAACAAGGCATTTTCACCCAGAGAACTGCTGATCACTGGATATTTTCTGTTTTCAGACAGGTGTAAGCCCCAGGAGTTTCTAAAATACTCGGACCATCAAAGCGCATCAAAACCAGCAACCAACGTAATTTCAAAGTTACTTAATTCGTCTTTCTTCCCCATTCTGAAGCTCAGTTTAGACTTACCAGGTCATTTTGACCATGTCTACATACCTAGTTGCATTGAGTTGATGCTATGTGATTGGCTGATTAAATCTTAGCATTTATGCCCAGTTGAACAGGCGTACCTGACAAAGTGGCTGGTGAGTGTATACATATGTTAAAATAGTAAGTTTCTCAATGAATAATTAATTCATCCATCCATTCTCTTCCGATTACCCTTTTCAGGGTTACGGGTGGGCATGTCCCAGCTGTTTTAGGGCCCTAAGATAGCTGGAATAGGCTCCAGCCAGCTCCAGGATAATTATCCTTAGGCTGGGATAATTTACTGATAAATAAAAGGGACTGTGTTCATCTTTCCCTCTAGAAAAAAGCAAATCAAAGAGACGGCCGGTTCTTGACATTGAAGAGATTTAAAGTGAAATGACCCATCTGTCAACATGTTGTCAAACATTTCACCGAGAGTCTCTAAAGTGTCCACCTCAAAGCTAAGCACAAAAGTGTTCGAAAAGGCTGTTGTTAGCACCAAAAACTGAAGTGACAGCAGGGAGGTATGCTACTATTATTTCTACTTCTCTGGTATTGATGAAACTCGAACAGTGGTGCCAGGATAATTATCTCACTCACCAAAAAACAAGCCTCTTCAGTGTTGTTTTGTCAGTAATGAAGGAGGTAATGACAGGTGACCCAGTCTGTCATCTTTTCAATTATTCATTGTCAACTTGAAAAACATGGGAGACTGTACACAGCTTAAGAGATATACAGATCTCTTCTTTATTCAAGCATCTGAAACACAGTAGATTTTTTTAAAGTCTACATGCACTTGAATAGATTCCCATTAGCCCACAAATGCCTGTAAGTGATTCCAAAAAATGTTTTATCGTCTTGCTCAAGCAAATTTGGTGTCTTGGTTTTTATCGTGCCAGGGGTGATTTCCAAAAATAATGTCCAAATGGGAGTGTAGGTTAATTTTTGTTAATTTAATTAGAAAATCTGTTGATTTTAGAGATGAAAAGCTTTCTGGAGAGGCAACTTGAGTTTTCTTCTTTTTGTGTGTGTGTGTGTGTGTGTGTGTGTGTGAGTGTGTGTCACCATCACCAAAGTTGCCTTCATTATGCTCAGTGTGACATTCTGTATTTATTTCCCATCCCAGCACACACCAGGAATTTCTGGGTGGTGGATGATGGATATTTTTGCACCCACATATTGGAGTAGGTTAGAGTCATGGGGGAGTTGGAGAATGACTAAAGGTAAATAGAGTGCCTTCGCATACATGCATAGTATTATTTTTATGTGTGCGCATTTGTGTTGGTAGAATTGTCAAGACAACACAGAGGGTGATCGGTGTGAACGCTGTGCACCGGGATTCTACGGCGTGGTCCGAGGTTCTCCTGATGACTGCAAACCCTGCGCCTGCCCCCTTACCAACCCACAGAATAAGTAAAATTTCTTGCAACCTATGACTAAAAACTTTAAACAATATTAATCTATCATTTTATGCACATTTCATCTTTTCTGTCCTCTCTCCTCTGTAATATAAATAGACTGTATGCTCCAAATGTTTTACCATTTTTTTTGTAATGTCTGTGAAAAATCTCTTTTCATATCCAGTTTCAGTCCCACCTGTGTAGCAGAGGGGTTTGATGACTACCGATGCACCGCCTGTCCTGAAGGATATGAGGGCAAACACTGTGAGAGGTCAGACATACAGAGAAATTAACAAGCATAGAAGTTTGGAAATCATCGGCTTTTAATGTGGACTGCATGGATATTTAAATTCAAAGACCAATACAGGGAATACGAGTTGATGTAAAGTGGAATCCAAAAGTCTTAGTCGACCAGTGATAGTTTTAAGAGAGACATTATATGGAAAGAAGGTAGTGGCAGTTGCCCCATGCCCATCCCCAAACAGCCAATCTTCAACTTCATACCAGCCAAACCTGGAAATGCATTGCCAGTTGTTTGCACTGATGTGTGCACTCATTTGAGATCTTCCTGTTTATTTAGATAAATTTGAATATTTAGAATATCCTCGTATGTGCTATGCCTAAATTCTGCTGTAATGACATGCACTTGAGGTTTACATGAAAACATCTCATACCTTGGGATCCCACCGTGAGTATTTTGCTGGTGAAATAATTTGTGATATCTCTTTACAGTGTAGGGTGAACATATGTTAAAATTTGGTTAGATTTGAATACTCTCTCTCTCTCTCACCTGTTTAGGTGTGCCACTGGTTACCATGGTAACCCAAGGATACCAGGTGGCCACTGTGAAGAGTGTAAGTGTTCCTTGTGGGGTGCTTTGCCCGGACCATGTGACCCTGTCACGGGCCAATGCCGTTGCAGGGTTGGGGCATCTGGGATGACGTGTGACCAGTGCATGGATAGGCATGTGTGTGGACCATCTGGGATCATCTGTAAGACTAACACACAGCTTTTAGTTACTCATTCTTTTGTTTTCTTCATCGTTTCATTTTTTTTCCTTCATCTTTTACTGTGTTTTTGTTCAGTGGTCTAGTGTAAAACATGAAAAAATTAAGAAATAATGTGGCTGGAATTTTTATGCACTTACCTTTAAATTGAAGTTGAGAGATTTTATTATAAAGATTAGTCTGCAGTGAAAGCTACCACCAGTGGTGGAAGTAACCCACCGTATCAGCATGGGGTGTCATGCTTCATGAACCCCACAGACATGCTCTCTGTCTCTTTCTTCTCTGTTCTTCTGTTCCCTTCCCTCTGGTGGCTCACCTCCCTTCATTGTCACCTGATGTTGTGATTTTTACTTTATTTTGGCAATGAAATGCAAATGAACAGTCAGAGCTCCTTTCTCCAGTTGCCATGGGAGACAGGAGATTGTGGCAGAAGTCAGATTCAAGTCATTTAGAAAATAATTTCAATGTCATTTGGAGCTAATTTAAACTTAATATGACCATAATGGCAGGGCCAATTTGGTGCCATTAGCATGTCTAGAAGGAAGTCTATGTGTGCAAGTGAGAGCACAGAAGAAAGGGTAGTAAGACAGAGGCTGATGTGAAATTGCTGCTGTCAGGTCAGTGAGGAAATTGCTTGCTCAGGTCTTTGTGTTCAGACACAAAGC